CCCATGTGAGTCTGTATCAAGAGGCTGAAGGGTCTGCAATGGAAAGCTGAAGAGACTGTGCTGGAAGCCAGAAGACAACATTCAAAGCGAAGGTGAAGACTGGAGCTCCTCCTAAGAAACGGAAGTGAGCCGTCCTTCTTGGTTTCCCTTTTATACCACGTAGGTGGCAAGCCCATTGGTTGCTGTCACTCACGCCTAGTAAATCTCAGCACATCTTCAGCAAATCCCCTCAGCCACACCCAGAACTGTGCTGATCCAATTTATTTGGGCATTTCTTACTCAAGTTGACACAGTCAGTTCAGTATCACAAAGGAAATATTTATTTGGGGTCATGTTTTCAGGCCATGGTGAGCTGGCTCCATTGCTTCTGGCCCTGTGGTGAGGCAGAACATCATGGGGGAGATGGGTGGCAGAGCAAAGCTGCTCACCTCACACCAACCAGGAGGGAGAAAGAGGGGCAGAGAGAGGGAGGTGGGCCAGGAACAAAATACGTTATTTGAAGGCATGCCCTCAGCGAACTCACTTCCTTCTACCGGTACCCCCATCCTTTAACGGTCCCACCAGCTCCCAGTAATGCTGTCAGCAGGAGAAAAGCCTTTAACACACAAATTTTTGAGGGACAGTTAAGTTCCAAACTATATGACCATATAAATGGCAGTACATGGTTTGTAGCCTGCTGTTCTGGAAGCTTTCATTCCGTGCAAGAACTTGAGATTCTTCTATGTCATTTGTCTCTGTAGTTCATTTTTATTGCCAAGTTGTTTGCATTGTATGCATATATACAGTTGTTTTACACATTCACAGTGAATGGCTATTTGAGTTGTTTTTGGTTTTAGCTATTACAAATAACATGATTATTAACGTATATGTTGTGTGGATGTATGTTTCATTTCGCTTGGATAAACACTAGAGAGTAGAATTGTTGGGTTGTACATGAGTGTATATTTAATTTTATAAGAAAGCACCAAATAATTTTTCAAGTGGTTACTCCATTTTTCATTCTCTTAGCAATGTATGGAAGTTCCAGTTGCTCCTCAATGCTTGGTATTTTCACTCCTCTTAATTTTTGCCATTCTTGTAGCTGTATAGTGGTATTTTATTGTGGTTTTAATTTACATTTCTCTAGTGATGAATGATGTGAGTATGTTTTCAAGTGATTGTCATTCATGTATCTTCCCTGGTGAAGTGTCTATTCCCATCTTTTGCCTATTTTTTTTAAAAACTGTATTGTTTTTCTTATGATTGTTAAGTTCTAAAAAGCATTTTATGTTCTAGATACAAGTCTTCAACCATATGTGTTTTGCAAATATTTCTCCCAGTTTTTTGCTTGTATTTTCAATTTAATACTATGTTTTGAAGAGCAAAATTTTTGAATTTTTCATGAAGTCTAATTTCACAGTTCTTGAAAGACTTATCTTTTCGTACCCTGCTAAGAATTCTTTGCCTACAATGAGTTCATGGAGATTTTCTCCTGATTTCATGTAGAAGCTTAATAGTTTTAGCTCTTACATTTAGCTTTTCCTTTGACCTAATTTTTATATGTGAGGCAAGGTAAGTGTTAGGCTTCATTTCTGTTTGTTTTTGTGTCTGGAAGTCCAGTTTTTCCAGATCATTTGTTGCAAAGGTTATCTTATTTTTTTCATGACTTCATATTTCATTGACTGAATTTCCCAAGATTTATTCCATCAATGTCCTGTTCGTGGGCAGTTAGGTTATTTCCAAGCTGAGGCAGTAACGCACATCCTGGCACATAAACCACTGAACCGTAAATGAATATTCCTGTAGAATTTCTGGGAAAATGGCATGTACGGTTCAACTTTAATGGAACCAAGGAATTTTTCTCCAGAATACACTCCCACTAAAAGGTCTGAAAGGGAAGGCTCTGACATTGATTGGCTTATTGGTGTGAGCCTTTCTCAAATATCACATAATTTCCTCCTGGACAAATCTAATAGCCGGTATTATTAGATTCTGAAAGAGTCAGAGCCCTTCCAGGAGGGTTTGAAGAAAGATGATAATTGCTGCCTTGATCGGTTAGGGTAACCTCATAAGAAATAGGCTCATAAAATGCATGAGGAAATGGAAATTTACCAAGAATTATTTAATAAATAATGGGGTCTTATAAAACCTCAATGGTGGGGCCTCTCCAAAGGGGAGAGGTTCCTGCAGCAACTCTATATCAGCAGTGATTTGCTCTCCAGTAGCCTGAGTGCAAATTTTGCCTCCTTGTGTGTGAGTCCTAACCTTCTCACCCCCTCCCATATAAGCCCACTGCTGGGGCTGTGGGTGCCAAGAGCTGACAGGAGCAGGGCCTTTCCTCACGCCTGGCCCAGCTCCCGCTCACGGTGTGTGTGGTGTGTGTGCAAAGGCACGGGAGGGTGCCGGGAAAATGCAAGTTGCACAATGCAAAATGCAGTGTGGCTGGAGCAACATTAAAGTTCCAGACTTTTTCTACGGTCTTTTCTTTTTCATCCTATCCAACGATGGGATTCGATCAAATTAAGTGACGTTGTTGAGCATCTGTCAGACGACAAAGACTGTGCTGGGGCCCTTGAGAGTACCCGGGGCTGTGGACATTCCCTCATCTTCAGCAATATTAACACAGGCTAAGTAGCAACATGAGGAGGGTTGGTTTTTTGCTGTTGGTTTTGAGACAAAGTCTGTCTATGTAGTCTAGACTGGCCTTGTATTCACTATATAGCCTACCTCAAGCTCATGGCAATTTTCCTGCCTCAGCCTCCCAAGTGCTGGGATTACAGATGTGTGGCACCATGCTTGGCTCCAGGAGGCTTAAAAGTTCAAAAACAACACTGGAAGATGTCGCAGGTGGAACGTATTGACTGATTTGTGCCAAGTGCACAATTAGTGGAAACCTTTGCTGAGAAAAGGAAAAAAAACCATGCAGGATGTGCGGAGAGGGAATCTGAGCTGTATGCTGAGAATTTGGCTTCAGACGGCAAATTACTCAAGAATTACTTTTCTCCCAGGTAGACTGTATCTTCTCCAAGCCAGCAAAAACTCACAGGTGGGGATGTTGGCTCCGAGAGCCCACGACTGTTCTGGCTGGATGTGGCCCATAATCACAGCTTCTTCTGCTAAACACTTTGGGAGCAGCTAAATAAGGCACATGGCCTTTCAGCTGTCTCGTATATCTTGAACGTAGCGCAAGTATATTCTTCAAGCTTTCTTTTTATCAACTCTGTATTAGTTATCTATTGCTGCATAACAAATTACCCTAATACTTAATGGTTTCAAACAGTAGTCATTTTATTGCTTTATGATTCTGCAATCTAAACTGTAACTGAGAAGCTCTGCATCTGGATTCAGGGGTCACGCCTGTAGCCGCCATCACCTGGAGAGCTGAGAGGGTTACGTGATCACCCAGCATGCTAGTGCCTTATCAGGGAAGGTCAGAACAGCAAGGGGCTGGTGGCCTCCCTCTTTGTGTGGCCTCTTCAATGGTCTAAATTTTGTTTTATATGGCAGCTGGTTTCAAGAGAAGACAAGAGCTGAAGCTTCCAGGCCTTTTAAGATCTAGGGCTAGAAATGACACCCCATCCCTTCAGCCACATAATGTTGGCCAAAGCAATCGCAGGTCTGCCCAGAGTTGAAGAAGTGGGAATAGATGCCGCTTTTTTGGGTTTTTTTCTTCCAGTACCAGGAATCGAACTCATGACCTTGAGCTTGCCAGGTAGGCACTGTGCTGCTGAGCTAAATCCCCAGCCCCTTAGACACCACTTTTTGATGGGAAAGGTGGCATGCACCTATGGCGATATGAAGGTTTTTGTGGCCATCTTTGCATCCCATCCACCATAGCTCCTTTGGCTTCCTTTGTGCTATCTCCACTTCCAAGTTCTAATTCATGTATGATTCATCTCACGTTACCTCATTTAACCTTTCCTGTAACCCTGGAAAGGCAATATGGTCTCTGTTTTGTTAAATAAGAAAATTGAGGCTTAGAGAGGTTAAGCAATTTGTCCACTGCCACTCAAAGCTGAGTTAAACCCAGTCCTGGGGCCAGAGACTAACCGCTTTGGGAATATGTTATATAAGTTAAGGCAGCCTGAGCAACTCTGTGGACTATTATTTAATCGTTTTAGTAATGAAAAGATCTCTAGCATCAGTTTTATAAACTCATAAAGGATATTCATTTAAGGATATAATAAATTTTATTTGAAGAATTTTACCCAGTCAAAAGTCAGGCTAGTGATGCTAAAATTTGATAATTATTCACTTATCTATCCATTTACTGATTTCATGTACATTTGCTTTGCATAGGATTAAAGTCTGCAGCTTCTGGTCAGATGTGGTAATCCCAGCTACTCAGGTGTCTGAGGCAGGAGGATAACAAGTTTGAGGCTGACCTGGGCCATTTAGCAAGACCTTGTCTCAAACTAAAAACTGAAAAAGGTCTAGGGGTGTAGCTCACTGTTAGGGTGTCCCTTGGTTCAATCCTCAGTAACACACACACACACACACACACACACACAGAGCTTCTAGGGAAAGCAAATTTTTTTCATAAGGAAAGTTGTTTGGAAATATAAACCCCTCCTTCTTTTATTGGATGATGAAAGAAAGAAGTCCACGGTCAACTTTACATATGTCACCCAGTGGGTAAAAGTGCCACGGGCCGAGAGGATTGGCTCCACAGAGCCCTGCTTGATTCGAGAGAGCTCGCTCTGTGCTGCCGTGGGACGCTTCAGGTCCAGACAGGTAGAGGACGGCAGGTAATCAGTCAGCAGTTCCGTCTGCTTTTGAGGACAGCTTCTAGTGAACACTTGAGACTCGGGTGCTTTTTCATCACCGCTTCAACAGCCACTTACCTCAGTATCCAAAAAAGAAAATTCTGACATCTTCATTTTAATGTGGGCATTTGATCCAGTGCTTCAGATAAATATAACCCTGTGTAGTACGAAGGAGGTTTCATGGGAAATGGTTGGCATTCTTTCTGGGCAAAGGCATGAGAGAGGGAGGGAAGCACCGGGGAGGGAGAGGGAGAGCACAGACAGCAGTGGAGACAGAGCAGAGAGCGCGAGGCTCCGAGGCAGCCGGGCCTCCCTAACGGACACTTGCCAGATCGGGCCAGCATGGTTGTCCTGAATCCGATGGCTCTGGGAATTTACCTCCAGCTTTTCTTCTGCTCTGTCTTGTCTCAGCCGACTTTTATCAACAGCGTCCTCCCAATCTCAGCAGGTAAGTGGTGATCACAGCTTTCCTCTCTGCCTTCTGTCAGGGGACAGCGGGAGGAAAGAAGCTGTTTTGCGACATGCCCTGATATTTCTGCTGTGCTCCCTCGGTGGAGGGAGACTGGGAGAGAGAGGCCACCCGAACTGCTTCCTGTCACCAGAGCACCTCTCAGAAGCCCCCCTTGTCCTTGTTTGAATGGTTCTACTCGAAAGACTCTAAAATATTGCTTCTGCCTTGCCTGTCCCTTCTCCCCATTTGCTGCATGATTTCATTGTAGTCAGAAATTTGCAGGAACTTAAAAGAGATAGGTGGTTTCAAGTGAAAGGGAAGTGAACCCCAGATGCTTCTATAAATATATCTCTGACCTCCCTGGAGGGGGCTTGACCCAAGGGTGGTGTGGCCAAGTAAACACGCCTCCACCCCAGCTCTGGCCAGGACAGTCTGGCAAAGGGAAAGCGTATCCAGCTGACTGTGGCGGAGGCCGGGGGCCCTTGCAGCCTCGGGGCTGGGCTTCGAGGGTCTCCAGCCCTATTTACCCTCCTGTTGCGCTCCTTCCTGAACGAGGTGTCCCTTCAGCCTTGACAAGGCATCTGCGGGTTCTCGGAGGACGGGGTCTTTCCTGGCAGAAGCGGAGGGGCTGCAGAGGGATGGCATGGCCAGAGCTGCCCGCGTCTGTGATTGTGGGGTGGGCGACGAGAAGGGCTGGGTCTGCCAGCCTGACAACCTTTTCTGAGGGCATCAGACCGTTACCCTTGTCCTGCCTGACCTGGAGCAGGGGAAGTATTGGGTTACTGTTATGGCTTCTTTAAACCTTTCTAAGGAAACTCAAATGTCTTCAGAGGGCGTGAGGGAGGCAGGCAGACCCCGGGCCTTGCTGCTTGACCCCTCCCTGTCTCCCTCCCCCAGTTCACCTCAGCTGCCCTGCTCTCTGTATCCGTCATGCCGCCCAGCACGAATCTCCTAGGTACCTCAGCTGAGCCTGAAGTTTCACTGTCTTTGCCTGTGAGACACAGGGAAGCCAGAAACGCCAGCAGAAAGGCAGCATCTCTGAACCCAGTGCCTACTGCCGTCCATTCATAAAAACAGCTCCCCGGCAAGGGATGCTGCCAGTGGCCATGAGTCCCGAGGGAGTAACAGAGAGACCAGTGTGAGGCTAATTATAAAAGTGTGAGGAGAGAAGGACAGAGGCGAGAGGCTCTGTGGGGAGCGTGGGGGTGGGGGTGGACAGGAAAGGTGAGTGGGGGTGTCACTAGGTATGTGACAACACGCCCCTCACGGATTCAAGCGGAGAGTGCCAAACTGCTTTTGGGACTGGGTGGGTCGTTATTCTTTTATTCAAAAGGGAAGATTGGTACTTCATCTGATCTGATGTAATGGTTCTTCATCTTGTTTGGGTCATAGAGTCCTTTGCTAATCTGCTGAGTACTTCAGCCTTGGGAACTAAGGAAACTCAGTCTTCTGGTTCTTCCTGCCTCTGACGGGCTCTCTGACTCCCTGGAGACAGAAGATGATGTACTATAAGCGCCATATGGGCAGGGACTGGGTCTATCTTGTACGTTTTCTGTTTCCCAGGATCAGAGCAGTGCCTGGCACATAATAGGTGTTCCTTAGTTATCTGGTGAATGAAAAACTAAAAAGTTTTCTCAGCCAAGTATGGTGGCACATGCCTGTGATCCCAGTTACTCAGGAGAATCTCAATGCAGAAGAATCTCAATGCAGAATGCAGGAGAATCTCAAATTTGAAGTTAGCCTGGACAAAATTCAACATTTTCTTCCAAGAAAAGGTTAGAGAAGTACCTCAGTGGTACAGCATCCTTGGGTTCAATCCCCAATACAAAAACATTTTTTTTCTCATCTATAGGTTGGAGTTCACCAATATGTTGTATTATTTGATCTAAATAGAGCCAAAGTGCCCAAGGAGTTCTCAAAGCTAGAGAGAAAAGAATCTCTGATTTTCCTTGAATTTGCCCTGAAAAGACCCTGACCCAGTGTAGACATCTCCTAGGGAAGGGGTTTTGCAGTTGTGCTCGTCAGAATGCTAGAGTGAAAAGTTGCCCCTCAGGAGGTTCGGATGAAAAGACCTGAATGAAAGGAGAACTTTCAGGGACGTGGGTGGGGTAAAGGGAACAAGCAAGCAAGACTGAGGCACCTAGAGATTAGCAACTTCCGGAAGCTTTTACCATCCTGTGCTTGAAAAGGTAGGAAAAGAAAAAAGGGAGATGGCTCCCTGGGAGAGTTGGAGCCTTGGAGAAGGAGATAGCAAGCAGGAGGGTTGGTAGTGGAGGGACCCAAGGGAGGTGGAAGTGGAGAAGAAATACCCTGACCTCCTCCTCCTCCTGTCCCATCCATCTGTTGACAGTGCCTCCTGCTGGCCAAACCTGACCAGAAGTGAGAGGCATGGGGCCCCTCGCTGTGGACCATGAGGAGGCGTCCTGTGGGGCACAGGGTCGAGAGTGCAGGGAAAGGTGGGGATGTGCTATAACCAACCCACCTAGCCAGATACCCACAGGCACTTCCTGATGAATTGCTAAGTCTGGATCTTCTGGGTGGGAATGAGGGGATCCTCAGACACTCGGTCAAACAATGGGGTAGGCCAAGGGGGAATCACTAGGTGAATACCCAGTTTAGCAAAAATATCTATTTTCTCCTGTAGTGTCACGTGGCTTTGTCTCTTTTACTTAATCACCATGGCTTCACTAGAACAGAGTTCAAAAATAAAGTTAGGCCTTGAGATGGAACTGTCTTTTCATACAGGATGAGTTTAATCCCTTTAAAATATTTTCTAGCAGTTTGGTTTGAAATAGTCTACATTCAGAAACTTACAGATTCTTATTTTAAAGAAGACAAATTGTGTATACACTGAAATAAAGTCACCAGGAATATCTCTTCATTCTACCCACTGTACCTTCATGAGCATCTGCTGGATGCCTGGCACTGTGCTGAGTGCTTCAGGGGACAAGGAGTCAGGAGGTTTGGCCTCTGCTCTGGAGGAATCCGTGGTCTGTAGGCGCATACATCCTGCCTGCCCCAGGGAACGGCTGTGATGGGAGAAGCGCTCTCACAGGCCTGTAGGTTATAACCCCCTTCAAGGTGAGCCACCCCTTTCTTCTCTCCAGGGGAGATTGTATTCCAGCCATGCTGGAGGACACAACACCCGCTCTCTGCATCAGTGTGCATTACCTGGCAACTCCCACTGCTGGGTCCCAGAGGAGAGCTAGGGAGGGAGCAGAGAGCATTACAGAGGGCAGAATCAGTGATAGGAATCCCAGCACTGAGGCGCATGCTCTTAACATTCAGAAAACCGTCTCAGACTCTTCCTGTAAGCCTATGAACTCTTACTTTGCATGCCATTCTAACAGGCTTCAAGAGCAGGTTTGTCCAAGTGTGGAGCGTAGTGCACAATGCATTGGGAAGGGAGGACCTCTTGATCACAGTGACAGAAGGCCGCTGCTAAGACTGATTGCAAGAGAAGTGATTTGAAAAACTCGGGCAGGATTCTGAGATTTCATAAAGAACAGTAAATAGGAATTATCTGTGTATAGTCATTGAAGGCCTCACTCTCTTACAGCACATTAAATGATTTTCATTAATATGATGGTGAATGGTCCAGTGAATATTGGTGTGTTCATTTTATTTTGCTTAAAATATAAGTGTAAGATATATCTTAGAATTATTTCTGTTGCACATAGCAACTATTGAAAATGTCAAGGGTCCTAAATTTGGTTTATGGTCTTAGCCACTTACCAGGTAACGAACCACCTAACACTCAGTGGCTTAAAACAGTGGCTTATTATTGAAGTTCATGTGTTTGTGGGTCAGCTAAAGGTCAGCTGATGGAGCCTGGGTTTGAGTGGCCCTGGCTGGGCTCATTCGTGGGTCTGTGAATAGTCTTAGCCCAGTGTGCACTCACAGAGGTGAACTCAGCAGCTTTAGCTTCCAGAGTGTGAAGCCCTGACCCTAAGATGATAATGTTTAAGGAAGGGCAGATCTTCTTCTACACAGTTCAGTGTATGAATTCTCACAGCATCCCTGGGATGGGTGTGACATCATGCTCACTTATCAGATGAGGAAACAGGTCAGAGAAGTTAAGCAATTTGCCCAAGGTCACAGCTGGTTTGTGAGAGAGCTGTGGAATCTGCTGGGATCCTGCTTCTTGACTTTAAGTCTGGGGCTTTTACCAATATGGGCCAGATGTGCTTACAGTGATATTGGGTGTTAAAGTCCTGCAGCACACATTCATATCTTCTGGACGCTCGGTGAATTCTTTATTGTCCCTTCCCTGCTACCTTCTCCTCGGGATGTCAATGCGCAAAGCTCTAGCAGAAGATTAAATATTGCTTTATAATAAGTGCACATGACTTATCAAGGCATTTATCTTTCCTCCAGTGATACTTGCATTTTAATAGGGACTAAAGATATAAACTAAAAGAATCTAAAGAATGCTCTAGTGAGATGAATTTAAACTGCTGGGCGCACTAGAGTATTTGGGGAGTGCCCTGATCCCGTGGTAATCCCAATTCACAAACCTATTCAGGCATTGTCAGCCAACCTACGTTGTGTCCACACAGAATATGTGACTTCCCTCTTTCAGTACAATATTTCTCAGGCAGGTAGGAGTTCTCCAGGTGATGCTGCGGTCCAGGTCTCAGAGGCCAGATGGTGAGAAGACCCAAATCCAGCCTTGCAGAATGCGATCACGTGGAAGGCTGTGATTTCTGCCTGGGTGCTGTGCTCTGTTGCTGGTGGGATGTAACCAGATCAGCCATTGTGTGCTCTATGTGGTCTGATGTCCAAGCCCCGCACTCCGCTCCCTGGAAGCCATCCAGGCCACCACTTGGGGACCATGCATGTTCTTGGCACTAGATGATGGGCCATTTATTTGGGCCTGACATTGATCCGCTGTTGTTTAATGTCCTGTAATGTACTTGCCAGCCATCCCCTCTGATTTAGCTCCCAATATTTCCTCTGGGTAATAAAATCAGAAAGGACTCTTAAATCAGAGGGCT